TGCCACCATGCCCAGCTAATTTTGTCTCTTTCAAGTTTTTTTTTTTTTTTTTTTTTATTTCTGAAAGTATATACCATGCTTTCCCAAAGAAGCAAGCACTTTGGTAAAACAATTTTTTAACATTATTTTTTTCTAGAGGATGTTCATTCTACCTCCAAAGCAAAAGGGGGGTGGTGACATTTCAGAGTGTGCACCTCACAAAAATATTAAAGACATAATTTACTAATATTCCTTTTTTAAGTTTCTTTCAGTGTTATAGGTCACTAGATCTGAGGTAGGTTTGATTTTGCCAATACTAGAGCCATGCAGTGCTGTAAACAAGGAAATTAAACTTCCCGAAGAGCCTGATGCTTCTCTCAGAAACATGTTTGTTTGTTAGGAGAATTTTATGATTACTTTATTTAGCTAATAAATATCACTAAAGTCATGATGTGGCCACATTTGATTCAGAGACTTGTAAAAGTAAAAACAGCCTGAATATTTAATATATATGAGGCCAAATGGAAGTTGTTTTTAATAAAATCTACACCTCGGTCCTGAAATGATCAAAATGAACCATCTTGAGTAAATGCATTGGCTTCAGGGTCTTATTTTTGATTGTTTACACTTGAACTGCCTTTTTTCTTTCTTTTTACACTGGTTTGTGTACAGAACCACATAGTTAGGTGCCTTTGTGTATGCTGCCTCTTCACATGTGAGTAAAACCTCATGTCCAGAAACAGCTTGGCTCAGGAGAAAGAACTAGGCCCTGTTCACCTCCATTTCCCTCCATTGTCCTAACCCAGTTACTTCACGGACTCAATTTCTCAATGTGTTCATGTAAAGCAGTTAAGAGTTGGGGGTATTTTTCAGCTCTGGACTTCTGTGAAAAATATACAGGAGCTAATATACTACCCTCTTCATGTTCTCGAGAAATATTTAATTAATCTTCATGAGAAGTAAAAAATAATTCAATCAAAAACTAAAACTTTAATGGGCAAATAAATTTTATGAAAGCACACTGTACAAGAAAAAGTACAGGAAGAAACAAACAAATCCTACTAGTCTGGGAGTCAAAACTAGGCTGATGGATCATATGACAGAGATATGTTTCTGAAGACCTCCCACAACTGGAGACCACTGTGAAAAAAGAATGACGAAGTTTCTGTTTAGCAGCTGAAGTGGTGCCGCCATGTGGCAATAGCAAAAAAGCAGTTTGAAATTTGAAACTGATCATTTGATGAAATTTTTAATTTGGAGAAATAAACATTACTACAAAGTTTATTAATATTTTTATATTGCAAACTTTCAAAATTTCATAACATTTGGCCCATTGATCTGTTGATTTTATTGAGGGGTTTCATATAAGAACCACCCTTCCAGACATAACATTCCTTAAGATCTTGAAGATGAGGAAAGAATTACTTAAAATTAGCTATAATTGAGACAGTGAAATTTCACGATCTCTGCAGTTTGTCCACAACAATTAACACCTTGATTTAACTGTTAGTTGTCTGACTTGTTCATTTAAAAGGATTAATCTAAATGGAAATTACATCTAAATTTGATGATATCTTTTTATCTCATAAAAATCTGTGAAACTATGAAGTTGTTTTTATCTTTTTTCATTTTTTATTTTTACTTTTTACTATATTTTCTTTTTAGAGATTAGATCTCACTCTGTCACCGAGGCTGGATGCAATGGTGTGATGAGAGCTCATTGCAGCCTCATACTTGAAGTTGTTTTTAACAGAAACATTTCCTAACTGATTAATATAATACTATATGTTAGTCCCAGAAAAGTCTCATGATTGTTTAAACCAACCTAGAACAAGCCTCACCGCATAAAATCGATATCTCTAGATAGCAAAGGTAAGAAAAGAATGACCAAATAATTCGTCATTCCCAATTTTAGTATTAAATGTTACATCCAAAGAGAGAATTAGTATCTCAATGAAGTTATATCATTATTTGACGGGTTCTAATGCTATGTTAAAACTCTTTAGTGCTCACTGTAGGCTCTTTGGTTTGTGACTTCTATAAGAAAGCTTTATAAAAAGGCAAAGTATATATCATGGAAATGTTTACCATTTATTCATGAAACCTGCAAACTTAATATAAACCAAAGTCTACAAACAATAGAAATTAAGTATTGTTTCAGAAATGTTTCCATTGAACTAGTTAATTTGTCTAGTCACTCAAGAAATAAAAACAGTAAATATACCCATATAATTGTTACCATGAACTTAAATTGCTCAAATTCATGTTTCCAGATAAATATGGCAAGAAGAATTAATGAATATAATATTAATAGCTTAGATTTGTCAAGGGCTTAACTTGTGCCAAGTATTTGTCTAAGCATTTTATACTATCTTATGTAATTATGAAAATCATGAGGTCAATGCTATTATTTCCTCC